TGATTCAATAAAATCTTCGAATTTTTCACATCAATTTTCATCTTTATTATCATTTAATAATCGTTCGGATAATATTATTCTTTGGTATAAAGATGATACACAAGTTATTGGTGTTAATTCCATATCAAATAATCCAAAAAAATATATTATTAATCAGATCAATGCTCATACATATCAATTAACGATAATTAATATTCAATTGGAATCAACTGGATTGTATAAGTGTCAAAATTTTACGGCAAAAGAAGAAAATCATTTTCAAATTAATGTTATTGGTATGTCTCGATTTGAAATTTGTTCTTCAAATGAATTCATTCATGTTCATTTAGCCCCCCTATTTATTTTCTCTTTAAGAAATCAAAGCAAACATCTGCTACTGAATGTTATTCATAGAGAGAAGATAATCACTATCGTTTAGAGAAAAAAAGGTTACAAGGCGAAACAGTCGTACAATCAATTATGAGCAGCGATCGAAGAGAAATAATCATCATTAGATAAATAAAAAGCGGGAAGTTATCGATAGTTGACTCATTTTTACTTTCGAGATATTAAATGAAGTGCAATACAGAAGACTTCTATTGAATAGTAATGATATTAAATTGATTGTCTTCTGTTGAATCGTTTAAGCAATAGATAATCATATCAAGATTACGCAAGTCTTTTGCAGATATTTTATCCAATAAACATAATACAGATCATATAACAATCGTCGGTAAAGAATATATCATTTTAGCACGTACAGTGATAAATTCTTTTTCTAAGATACATAGTAACAACAGTGACTTATATTTGCTCGTTATTGATCTATAAATAAGACAGAAATAAATGATGTTAATTTTCAATCTGGGTGTCATCTTAGTTTCGCTTGTATAGATTTTGGTAAATCTTTGTTTGTCCAATTAATACATCTCTTTATTTTTTTCAGTTCCACCATCTCGTCTTCATATAACTTCATCAACACAATTACCTGTTATTGATGGAACATTAGTGTCATTTAATTGTACAACTGAACGTGTTTATCCAAATCCAATATTTGAATGGTATAAAAATGATAAACTTATTCAAAGGTGTGTGTATTATTCTTTCTTTCTTTCAAAAAAATCAAAACAACATATTTCTTTTGTTAGTTCAATCGGCAATCAAACAGATTCGATACTCTTTTCAAGTTCATCTATTTTGACACTTTTACTAACACCTGCTGATCATAATCATATACTACGTTGTCAAGTATCAAATGAAGCGAGTATTGATGAAACCTATACGGAAGTTAAACTTGATATCTTATGTTAGTTACAAATTTTCTTTAATCTTTTCACGAAAATAACAACTTCTTTTTTTATATATATAGTCAAACCAATTATCAATTTTTTCTTTCATGAAAAAGAAATAACTACAAATATATTAACAGTAATTGAAAATACATCGGAAATAATTCAATGTAAAATATCATCGAATCCATCAATAATACCAAATATTGAATGGTATAAAAACGATCAATTAATTCTTGGTAAGAATTAGATAATTTAATTGTCTAGAGTTTTTTTTCAGTTAGATAAGACATATAAATTGATTGATCATGTGATGATTATAGGAGAATATCAAGAACAATTACGAATAGATTTTGTTGGTATAGAAAAATTATCTTGTCGAGCAAAGAATACAATTGGACAAACAGAAGCTAATATTGATATTAATATTCTTTGTAAGATAAAAATTATTCATGAGAAAAAAAAAGAAAATATTTATTTATTTTTATCTTCGAATGATTAGATAAACCAAAATTATCAATAAATGAAAATGTAACATTAAATCAAACTGATAAATTAGTTTTAAAATGTTTAATTGATGCAAATCCATCATGTGATCAAATTCGTTGGTTATTTAATGAAAAAGAATTAATTATACAACCATGTACAAAAAATAAAATAGCTGAATATATTATAGAAAATATCGATCGGTCACAAGCTGGAAAATATACATGTGAAGTTAAAAATTCATTACATACTAGTTTCATTAATGAATATGATGGAATATCAGCTATATCAACATACGTTCAAGTACAATGTAAGAATCTTTTTTATACAATCAAAATTTGGAGTTTACGAGTTTCAAGTTTTTCGACAAATTGTAGTTTGTAACAGTGATTTATTTAGAGGGAGGGCTGAGATGGCGGCGCCCTCCCGAAACTTGCAATTTTTGTGCTTATACTATGTATTTGCCCTCCCGGAAATCGCTATCGCACTCCCGAAAGGAAAAACCTAGATAACACACTGGTTTCTAACTATGCGCTTTTTTCCCTTGAGTATCACCAGTACAGTCTATAGTATCTATTAGAGCGATCAAAAACAGATGATTACAGTTTTCAGGAAGAGTTTTTCGCGAAAACTTAGATATCCGTAAATTCTAAATTTGGAGCACACTTAACTTGACCTTCTGATAATTGATTAAATCATATAGTATAGTCTTGTATTACATAATGAGTACCAGTTAGTTATAATAAGATTATTATCAGAATAGCGTAGCAAATATGTAGTTACCAATCCTTCTTGGTCAACTGTATCTATAAAGACAATTTTCTTCTTCAGCTGGGTATTCACCCGAAGTAGTGTCCTTGCCACCATTTTGTTTAATGATAAAATATACAAAAATCCTAAAAGATTATGGCATATGCAGTGTTTTATCTAGGTTTTTCCTTTAGAGAGTGCGATAGCGATTTCCGGGAGGGCGCAAACCTAATTTCTAGAGGGAAAATACATAACAAAAGCAAAACAAATGCAATCTTCGGGAAGGCGTCGCCATCTCTGCCCTCTCTCTAGATAAATCATTGGGCATATGTCCTTTAACTTATTGAACCTTGTAATCATTCTGTTCATGACCATAAAAATAAACATCTCATCGCAAGATTAATCTCTTTATTTAGATGCACCCTACATATTGAATATTCATAATAAACTTGCAATTATCGAAAATTCTGAAATAAAAACTGAGTGTTTGGTTGATGCTTATCCAAAAGCTGATATCATCTGGTATGAATCATCTGATAAAAATTTGAATTTATATACAAAAGAAAAATTATATAATAATACTATTGTCTCATCTGAATTAAATTGTAAGTTGATTATTTTTTATCTTCAATTAATTTATTATAATTTTTAAGTACCATCATCATATTTACCAAAATTTGGTTTATACCGTTGTGTTGCGAAGAATGTTTTTGGTCAACATGAATATTCTATTGAATTTCAACGACCAGGTTTACCTGATCCACCCATTCAATTACAAGTTAAAAATCTAACTCATTCTTCATTTATATTAAATTGGCAACCAGGTTATGATGGTGGTTCCGAACAAATATATCATATTATTCTTAATAATAATGATACGAGAGGAAGACAAACAAATAATAATTTTATACGATACGATGATTTGAACGAAAATACACGATATATTGTTAAAATTCGTTCAAAAAATGAAATCGGTTATAGTAATTTTACATCGAATATAATTATTACAACAAAAAAATCTTCAATTCATTTTGAAGAATTTCCAATAATTCAACAAGCTTATTATAGTATCGATAATCATCGAATACATTTTCAAATAAGTCCAATACGATCAAAATTAATACCCATCGATCAATTATGTATTCAACATTATAATAATGATGAAATACCACCATGTATTCCTCTTAATTCATTTCATACATTAAATGATGAACTTGAAATACAAATTGAACAAATGAATATACGTTTAAAATTATGTTTAATTAATCAAACAGATATTTGTTCAAAATCAATACAAATTCCAACGACGATTCCATTAATAAATGAATCCGCTGAATTAATCTTAGTTTTAACTGGTAAGATAGATTTTTTTTTCGAATAATCGATTAATATTTTTCTCTTAGGAGGAATTATTGGTTTATGTATTGTTTTTGGTTTAATTGGTTTATTTATTTGTATTCGTCAACAAAGACGTAAACAAACTTCGAAAACTGGTTCAACTGATACATTAAAAACGAATTCAGAAAATTTAAATGGTATGACATCAGTTCGTGTTAATGATACGAATTCATGTCTTTATTATCCATCGAATCAATCTCGACCATTGTATTATAATGATGAAACAACGGGTGTTTATTCAATTCAACGTAAATAGAAAAAAAAATTCATTAATTGAAATAGTAGTTTTTTTGGTTTTGTTTAGAAAAGAAAAGTTCGATTTGTCTTGATTCTGGTATGCCATCAACAACTTCAAATAATTCGGATTCAGCTGGTTCACAAGCTTTATCATCATCAGATTTTTACGAACGTTCCGATGGTGAACATCTTGTTAATGGAAAATTATCAGCAAATAGAATTATTCAATCAGCTTATACATTAGCTAGAGAACGAGAAAATCATATGAAGAATGTTCCAATAAATGAACGAATATCATCATCATCAGCATCATCAGAAGAAGAAAGTGGCTTTTCAACACCAACAATAATTCATAATGGAAAAAAACTTGTCTATGAAGTTGTTGTATGAATTATCTTATATATGTATACTTGTATATGTCTATTGTATTTCATTTATATATTTAAATTTTTTTTGTGTATGTTGGTTTTTGTTTTATAGAAGAAAATAATTGAGCTTTGTAAGACAAATGAAAATATATGATTATTTATTACTAGTCGAACTTAAAGAAACTGCACACTTCTTTTGTCTTAGAAATACATTATATATGACGAATCAATTTGCTTACGAGACATCGTTTTCATACTCAGAAATTGATCATAATTGTTTTTCTTTACATAGGATCAGGGGCGGATCGACAGGGAATGAGATGGGGACGGCCGCACCCCCTTCGGATCTGATTTTTTTCCAAAATATTGGATTTTTATCGTAACCGCATCCCCCTTAAAAATTCGGTGATCCGCCACTGCACAGGATTTGTCAAATACAAGCAGGTATTTAGAAAGATGCATAAGTCTCGTATCTGCCTACGTTTCATCTTATTCACGATGAATAAATTGAGAATTGTATAGGTTTTTTTTGTTTGTTTCTATATATTATTAATAAATCTTTACTTGTTTATGTCTGTTTCTCTACAATATGCTTGTTTAGGTAGCAATAGTTGGATTTGTATAGGCTTCTTATCGTCAAATTTAATAATCATATATGAAATAGAAAAAAACATCGTATGAAAATTTTTATATAAACAATATTCACTGCTCACTTTCATTTGATAGGAATCACATGCAAAGTTTGTACCGTGTACAATTCATACTCCATTGTCAATACATCATATAATCTTATGAATATTGAAATAGATAAGAAGTATTTTCTTTATTTTTATGTTTATTTTTTTTATTAATTTAATTCTTTCTTAGACCTCCACATCCTGTTTTGGATAATTCAAAAAAAATGATGCAAATTATCGGTATAAAATAAAAATAAATATATCTAATTTTTCAATTTTTTTTGTAGCTAATCCACTCTATGATAAATTAACAATATCACGTGCTGGTCATATTCGAAAACATAATTCACCTGAATATGATTGCAAATTCATACGATTAAATAGACGAAAGGAAAAAGCTATGATAACATCTCCCAAATCATCGAATAGTGAAGTAAGAAAGAAATAATATCATTTGTCATCTTGAGATATTGATTAAGAAGACCTGGTATATTCTATTTGCTTTACAAATAAGAATGTATTATATAAGAACTTTTTTTCATTAGAAAAAGAAATCTTATTTCGTTGTCGTCATTTCATATTTTGAAAATAAATAAAAAAGGAGAAATTAATATTATTTTACGTATAGAAAATCTCCATATTGACAAATATAGATTATTTTACAAGGAGAGAGTGTACTTTAAATAGAAAACATATCGAGGTACAAAAACGGTTCAAAGTGCATTAGAAAAAAATGTCAAGAGCGTTGTTTTATTCTAGAATTGCCTATATTTTTAGTCATTGTCAATCAATAATAATCAAATACAATCGAAACTTGTCTCTGAAAATCGAAATAGTGTATCAACTGTTCGTACCGAAAATGACAGAAAATCTAATATAACTAATACGACTCGTTATATAACTACTCATCAAGGTTTTGAAATTCGACGATATTCTTCTCATAATTGGTTATCAGTTGATCTTCTAACTAAAGATGCATGTCAATCTCAAGATAAAACATTTCGTGAAATGCTTGATAAACAAGAACAAAATGAATTTATACCGCATAAAATTTATACCTTAGAATATTATCGTAAGCGTTATCAAAATTTATTACAATCATATAAACATGGCAATTTAACTTATGATCAATGGGCGAAACAAAATTATCAATTACATTGTTTGAGAACATTGTATACACAAGCATATAAACGTGAACAACATTGTCGGAATTTATATGCACAAAAGTTACGTCAACGACATGCTCAAAGTGTATTTAAACAATGGAAAGAAGCAAAAAATGAAGAAAATCTTGGAAATCATCGTCGAAATACTGATCATAGTCAACAAACAACAGAAATAATATCTGTTTCATCAAATCCTTCAATGTCTCCTCGTAATAATACAACAAATCGTATATCAATGTCAACTATTGTCGACAATGATTCAGAAGTACGATCAGTTGTGCAGCCTATGAACTCATCAAAATATAATCTAAATACATTATATATGTTAGATAATCAACGATCATCTTTACAAGCAATGCTAAAACGAGTCGTCGGACTTGCTAAACCACTACCACCACCACCACAACCGCAAAAGGCTACTTCATCGATAACAAACTTTAGTAGTGATAGTGGTTTTGAATCAAATCTTTAAAAATAAATATTATTTTCTGACTATTGAATAAAATTTAACGACGTAGATTATTGATAATATCAAAAAACAAATCAAGATTTGACAGAAATAAGACCACCTCTGTCAATTTTGTTAATATTTCTTTTAATTCATATAAACAAATCATTCATTTTTTCTCTTGACATATTCATAACTCGTATTATTTATTCTAATTAATATTCGTTAGCCTATGAAAAATATAGAGATAAATTTACAAACGATATCAGGAGATAAATATATTCAATATCTTAAGATGTTGATGGTGATAGCGATAATGTAATATATTTGATTGTCATCTTTCTATCTATCAACGCTAATTGTCAATGATGAGAGAATAGACATGCGTATATTATGTATATATCTACGGTTAATATGTATAACGAAAAAAGAAGAGCGAGAAGAAAAAAAAAGGCTTCGAATTTTGTCATTGATTTATGTTTATTGAGGATCAAACGCCTATAAGATTTAAATGATTAAAAAAGTTAACAATACAATTGCAAATCACGCATATTTATCTTTTTTGACACTTACACAAAAATAAGCAAAACATAAAAAACGATTGTATAATTGATGTTTTTAATATCTTCGATAAATATTAAATTCTAAAAGCAATCATACATTTTTCTCACGTATCAATACGTATGTCATATTTGATATATCTGTTCTATTGTCTTGTATTTTTTATCCCTATACTAAATGATATATGTATATACATATATATTTCTATGTAATAATTATTTTCTTTTGCATTGTATATCTATAATGTCTATTCATTTTTCTTCGCACTTTTTTTATTTTATTATCAACATACGAAAAAAAGAATACTTATAAGAGAGAGATGTCCGCTGGCGTGCTTGTAAGAATGTGTCATATACTATATGAAATAGAAGAATGTCAACCTTCGTATACAGTTTTTCTCTTTTTATTTTATGCTTAAATTACAAACAAGCTTACAAATTTGATAAAATTTTATATAGTATGTCAAAAAAAAGTATATGGTCATCATGATGAGAAGAAGGAAATATGAAATAATTAATATTAGTTTTCTTTTCAGATTTATCTAAAATGCGATCATCAAATTCAATGCATGCGATTCATTACAATGTATCAGCACGTCATCATATTATTATTTTATATTTACTTATTGTGGGTTTAATTCTATTATGGGGATTTTCTTTTATTCATTTTTTTCGTGTTGTTCGGACTACTATGACTGATTTGGTTCAAACTAAACAACGATTAACGGATCTAGAAGCAGTACAAATTACAATTTCAACGACAGCAAATGGTTATGATGCATTAAATCGTCGATCAAGACATGCACGGCTTAAATCAAAATTATTACATAAACAACAACAAGAGCCAGAAGAAATAGTTGATTTAGATTCAATTTTTGGTTCATTTTATTTCAAAGTACCAGTAAGGAGAAAAAAGATTTAAATTAAAATTGATTATTTAATTTATAATAGCCAATTGCAATGTCAACATTTTGTGTTAAATCAGTAGATCATTGTAAGAAATTAGTCAGTGAAAATGAAGGTAAACTTAATAAAATATTTCCGTATATATATGATCTATTCGTAGAATTACGAGGTCCAAAAGGTGATCAAGGTGAACGTGGCTATCCTGGATTACCAGGATTACCTGGTCTAAGGGGACCACCAGGCCCACCCGGTAAGCTAAATTTTATAGAATTTTTATGTGTTGTATAATTTATTTGGATTGAAGGATTACCTGGTGTTATGGGTTTTCCAGGAGCTATTGGTCCTCAAGGACCTAAAGGAGATCCAGGTGAATCAATCGAAGGACCACCAGGTAGATTAACTAACTTAATTGACAAAGATTTATATTGAATATTTGTATTCAAAGGTCCTCCAGGTCCAACAGGACTTCCTGGATTTCCAGGTCAACGTGGTGATGTTGGTTCTCAAGGTTCTCCCGTATGTTTGAACACTTACAACTCTTCTATACTATTTCGTTTTTAATATCAATAGGGAGTTTGTACATGTCCGGCGCCATCATCATCATTGACATTACCTTTCACATCTAATGATCCTAAACAAGGTTTTTTATACTATTTTAAATATCTTTCATTATTTTAAATCTTTATTTAATTCAATATTTAGATTTAGCTAGACGTGACGGTAAGAGAACTTAAAAATAAAATATTCTTAATTTTTATATCTCCGTATTATCTCAAAATAGCCATTCTTCGTCGTGCACAACGTAAATAATATATATTTTTAAAATATTTTCCATTAAAATTTTTATTTAAGGTTGTATCTTCTCTTTTATTGGTACACCTGTTCTTCTCAAACAAGATAATTATACATTTGGTGCTTGGTTTAAAGATCCAATGCCACGAACTGCTAATGGTGCTCAAAAAGTATATGTTACACGTCATACAATCGGTAATCTATTATATGAATATAATAGTGAACAAGATTTAGTTAATAGTAAACCTAATCGTGTTATAACATTACCCTATCCATATTCAGGTGTTAATCATATTGTTTATCAAGGAAGTTTTATATATAATGTTGAAAATAAAAATACAATAATACGTCTTGATCTTGTATCCGAAACTGAAACACAATCTATTGAAATACCTGCAAATCGCGAACCACTTTATAATACTCCACAATCAAGTTGGTATGATTTTTCAATCGATGAAAATGGTCTTTGGATATTATATCGTGAACAAACTACAAAAAATTTTATAGCCGCTAAAATAAATCCCGATACATTAGATACACAAAAAACATGGGTATTACCATATAATCCATCAAGTTTAAGTCAAGCATTTATTGCTTATGGTGTATTTTATGGTGTACAATATTATAATAAACAACAATCTTATATTGATGTTGTTTATGATATTTATTCAAATGTTGCATTTACAACAACAAAAATTATTTTTGCTGTACCATTTCAATTTCTCGTCCAATTAACTTACAATCCTTATGAAGGCAAATTATTTGCTTGGGATAATAAACATTTAATTTACTATGTCTATAATGTTCAACGTGATAAAACGTTTAAATGTTTGTGATATTCGGTGATGAAAAAGAAAAAACATCATTAAGGTTTTGTTCTATTTTTTTTTGTTGCTTCTCAGGTCTATTGTTCATGACAGTCTATTTTCATCTTTTATTTAGTATGTAAATAAAAGATATTTATGTATGATGTCTGCCTATTCTTGAATATAGTCGGCGTCACGCATGAATATGAATCGATATATATGAACTTGAAAAGTGACATAAAAAACCTTCGATATATTTTAACTGATTGTATCCTTTCCCTGAAGGTTTCTTTTTTTGTCTTTTGTGATAACAAAAAAAAAAAAAATTTGATAAATATTAAAAATTAATTATTGTAAAAAAAATTTATACGATTATGAATACCATCACATTTATATATAAATATTCAAGGGAAACGTAAAGTTTTAATTAAATTGTACAAATCATCATTGAACAATTATAAAATATGTATTACATACTCTGAATTTTCATGTATAGATGTGTACAAATAGCAAATCATTGATGCAAATCAATTCCTCTTTTCTTTCTATATTTTTTATTATTTTTCATGTTGTCATTATCATATTATATTGAAATAATAAGAATAAATATATAAGACAAATATCTTCTTGTATCATTATTTTCTTTGTTCATCAAGGATTAGACTTTTTTTTTTTGTGTATAGGTGACTTTCAAAAAGTATTCATACAATAATCGTAAAATTGTTTTTGTTTTCATGTACATATTCATAAATGAAGGCTGATATAAGAAGGCCATATTTTCTTCATTACCTAAACTAGTTACATTTCTTTTACCATTGACAATCATTTGTTAGCATAAAATTAGTATGTTCGGCGGTGGATTTTCTTCAGCTTCATTAGCATCATGTTCACAACCAATGATGGTACCATACGATGTACCTGTTCCACAACCTTATCCTAGTCCTGTTTCAGTACCACAACCTTATATTCAAAATTATGTACAACATGTGGATGTGCCTGTTCAACACACAATTCAACCTGTAATTTGCCCGACACCATGTCCTGTGCCTGTTCCACAACCAGTACCTTATCCAGTTGATCGACCATGTGCTGTACCTGTTCCACAACCAGTACCTTATCCAGTAGATCGTCCATGTGCTGTACCAGTTCCAGTGCATATACAAGTTCCACAACCAGTACCTTATCCAGTTGATCGACCATATGCAGTAGAAGTTCCACAGCCAGTGCCTTATCCAGTTGATCGCCCATATGCAGTAGAAGTTCCTGTTGATCGTCCATGTGCTGTACCAGTACCGTATCCAGTTGATAGACCTTATCCAGTTGATCGACCATGTGCTGTACCTGTTCCACAGCCAGTGCCTTATCCAGTTGATCGCCCATATGCAGTACAAGTTCCTGTTGATCGTCCACGTCCTGTACCAGTACCGTATCCAGTTGATCGACCTTGTCCTGTGCCTGTTCCAGTACCTTTTCCTATTGATCGTCCGTGTCCTGTACCAGTTCCAGTACCTTATCCAATTGATATGTCATGTAAGACTGGATGTATTTCTAATTCTATGTCATTTTCGCAACCTATGATGAGACAACAATGTATGATGGGACAACAACCTATGATGGGACAACAATGTATGATGGGACAACAACCTATGATGGGAC